ATTTGCTGATGCCTAACTTGGGCAAAGAACCCTGGGGGTCTTTGCTTTCCAGTCAAAGTAGGGGTGAGTGGTTGGTTAGGACAGGCTCATAAAGGAGGATGCGCCAACTTGCCTCTCTAGTTACTGTGTTAATCTTAACAGGAAAAGGCATTTGCTTCCTGGTGATAAGAAAATCAGGGCTGACTGAGTTTAAACATTAATACTCAAATCATGTGATCTGCATGGAACTGTACCTCTCAAACAAAGTCATAGCTAATTTCAAAGCCTAGCATTGGTACAGTGAGGCAAGTCTGGTGTGCCTCGCTACTCAAAAGACTTGGGGGTGAGGGCAAGAAGATTTCTTGAACTCAGGAGTTCAAGCCCAGCCTGGGTACCATATTGAGACATTGTGTCTTTAAAAAAAAAATCTCACAAGGTCACACTCTACCAAGTGTGTGTTCAAGGCTAGCTATTTTCAGTTAAATCTTTCTAATAGATGAAGCTAATTTGCTTCAGAAAACATTTGCCATATGAGATGTAAGGCTCTTGCATCTCTTTCCAAATGCAAGTTGACAAGTGAAGATAACAGTAATTTTATGATCAGTATGACACAGTACTGGGATATTTATGAATTGAAATACTATTTTCCCTGCATTGCAAAATTTGTACAAAGGTGCCAGCTGAGGCAGATTTATCAAGATTTGAGTCTAAGCACTAGGGCTCCTTACTTGTACTCGCTGCTGCCAAGGTCCTGTTTGGGTCCCTAGCTATTTCTTTTAAAAAATTTATTATTTTTGTTCAATGGGGTAAGGCTGTATCACCAGGTGTGGCAATACACAAGAAGGAAGCCTCCCAGACTGCTGCTGTCCCTGAGAAACTTCTGTATTCATAAAGTTTGCAATTTTTTAGTTGAGACATTCCCAAATTAGAGAAGGTTCAGGCCCCACAAACTCTGGATTCACCCCTGGGTTCCAGGTAATTACAACCCAGTAAATCTCTTGAGGTAAGCCTTTATTTTATTGATAAAACTGACCCAACGAGGTAGCAGCATGTTAGGGCCCAAATCTACCGCAAAGGGGAGCCAAAGTCTCATTAGCAAAGCACCACTCTTTGAGTGGTCATAGTAATCATATCTGTTTCACATGACATCAGGAAAGAAACACATTACAGAAAACCAGTAGTGGTTGATAATCCTAAATGTTAAGTGTACTCCTCCCTGCCAATTAATCGTTCTTCTTCAATCTTCTACACGGATCAAGACTGATGCCTCATTTTTTAAATTTTTTTAGTTGCTTCATTGGTTCTAACAACACAAGCTCCACGATTTTAGAAACTGAAGGATTCTACCAGGTAGAAAGGATATACCTTATTTGGATAGAGCGCTTTTATAGGGCTTGTCTGGCTCATCAGGTCTCGCGGGCCAGACAAGCTTGTCCTAAAACCCTAACTGGGGGCGATGGGAGATGCCGGAAAAGACAACGGACAGAAGACAAAACACGCATAAACCTGCAGCCAGGTAGGCTGGGTGGTTTGATGGAGACACATCAACAACCTCCACCTCCAGTGAGTTTATTATATACAGTGGCAACATGAGGCAGAGAGGCGATTCTCTGGGGAGGGGGCGTGACATTGTAATCCTTGTGAACAGGAGGAACCTGTGACAGCTTCTCTCTGAACATAAACATCTTAGGAAAAACAGCTGTACTGCATCTTGCCCACTTCTGCAGCTGAGGTTGTGCCAATCAAGTGTGCAATTACTGGGCATAACTCTACTTGGTCCCTTCTGTGGTTTGAGGCTGTGCCAAACTCAAACACGCAGCTTGTTCAATACACCTGCCTGTTCCCCACAAAACACTAAGAGAGAAAAGAGGAAAATCCAAGCTTTATCCCTGTTGAACTACTTGTTCTGCTATTGAGAATATCCACAAAACAAGAGTGGCACTTTATGGAGGCAAACTGAGCTGCAGTCTCAGAAACAGCCTGTTGCTTCCTCCCTGTTAGTTCCCTATAGCTGTAGGTGCCTAAACATTGGCATGTTTCAGGCTGTGGTCACTACTTTTGACCTGTACTGGAATCCTGACAACTTCTTCTCAGAGTCAGAGAGGCCAAATCATTAAAGATGAAAACAACAGCTCAGGTCTGTCCTTTGGGATGATTTAGTTTGGCTGCTTAATTTGTAAAGGTTCAAAAGTTTTGAATAACTGTGTATTTTTAAAAAATTATTTAATGTTTCTTAAACTTTGGTTCTAAGACAGTCTTTGAGGTTAATGAAAAGTTTGCCAATCTTTGCTCCTATAAAAGTATCAAAAAGGCAATGAACTATGAATCAGTGCATCTTAGTTTATCTGTAAAATGAGGTAATTGAGCTAGATGTGGAAATGATCTGTAGTGTAGTGTCCACTGGGAATCTACAAACATTTAAATCATTTGGTTTGTGAAAGAGTTGTTGTAGATGGATGGCAGAGCTACTTGAGAGACTGAGGTAGGAGGACTACTTGAATCCAAGTAGTTCAAGGCCATCCTTGGCAACACAGCAAGACACAGTATCAAAGAGAAAGAAATAGTTGGGGAGGGAAGGTAAAATGAAAGAGGAGAGAGAGAGAGAGAGAGAAGAGAGAGAGGAGAGAGAGAATTACTTCATTCTTGACTGTCATTAGCAACCTAAGAGGACAACAATAAATGAATATCTATATGGTTTTATGATTTATTAAAGCATTCCATGGGCAAATATACTAATTTAGTCATTGTTAATTCCACATACATTTGAGTGCCCACTACATTAAGTGTGCTCTAGGTAGTAGAAGAAAGACAAAACATACTCTTGCTCTTTAGATGTTATAACCAAGGTAGACAGGCAGAGACTTCCACAAACATTACACTAGATAATGAAAGGCATAATCAAATTTACAATTATTTCCGGGTGCTGGTGGCTTATGCCTGTAATCCTAGCTACTTAGGAGGTAGAGATCAGGAAGATCAAGGTTCAAAGTCAGCCCCAGGAAAATAGTTCTTGAGACCCTATCTCAAATATACCCAACATAAAAAAGGGCAGTGAAGTGGCTCAAGTGGCAAAGTGCCTCCCTAGCAAGCATGAGACCCTGAGTTCAAACCCCAGTACTACCAAAACAAATTTATAATTATTGGTTAGAAACAGTGTCAAGATCTAGTGATTCCCCCACAGACGACTATTTTTGAAGTAAAAGAAAAAGCAGAGATGTAGTAGGTAATGGAGTTGGTGATGTAACTAGGTGTAGAGTGCTTGCTTAGCATGCCCAAGGCCTGGGTTTAAACACCAGAACTGTTTAAAAAAGAAAAGGGTAGTAGATGGGGCTAAGGGTCTGGAACTGACATGGAGAAAGTAGTGCTCTGGGATGGAGAAATGGTACAAGGAACCAATCATTTTTGGTTGCTTTTGCTTTGGGAAAATTAGTTTTATTTTATGTTTTTTGATATTATTATTATTATTATTATTATTATTATTATTATTTTGCAGTACTAGAGATCCAACCCAAGGCCTCTTTACCACTTGAGTCATTCCCCCAGGCCCTAGCATATAGATGATTAAAAAAAAAAAAAGCTTCACTGGATAGGATCCAACTGGTTTAGAGGGTGCTGATGTGGAGTAGAATATGTTTACAACAAGTCAAAGGTAGAAAAAGGACAGTTGGAGGAATGTCCTGCACATAGCCACTGTTAGTAGTGTCTGACCAAACTGGGATATTATCTGGGGCCACATATTACTCTACCTCTGAGCCTTAACTGCATGAGCTATAAGGCAAGAGATTTGAGTCAGTGGTTTCCAGACTTTTGTGTTTCACAGGCCAGTAAAATGCCTGAAAATTAAAATTTCCAATTTTTAATTTTAAGTAAAAATGTTACAATAATTATCCTCTATTTCAGCATCTCTTCATAAAACATTTTTAGGCATCAAAGATGTAGGAAAGTCATACATATAGGAGAGTAGAATAGAATACATTTGATTTGTGAAATTAAAACATTACACTTACTACTCTCACTTTGCTGAGGATAGTGCAAACTTGTTCACAGACCAGCAAGGATCTGATCATACTATTAATTTTTTTTGGCAGTATGGAGTTTTGAACTCAGGGTCTCACACTTGCTAGGCAGGCACTTTACCACTTGAGCCACTCTACCACCCTCAATCCTGTTATTTAGAAATCCCAGGAGACATATTCTGCAGGATCCCTTCTGGCTTTGATATCCTAGTATTCAAATAACAGATTAGGACTGGGGGTGAGCTCAAGTGGTAGGTGCTTACTTAGCAAGCACAAGGCCCTAAGTTTAAACCCCAGTGTCCCCCTAAATAAATATTAAATAAACAAATAAATAAACAAACAAATAGATAGCCAGAAGACTCACTTTCCCTCTCAGGGTTATTCTAACAAGTAGCTGATTATGACACCAAGCACCCCTTCTCAGGCACCATCAGCTCCAGTACAGATGCCCTGTTTGGACCTGGTCTGATTCCTTTCCAAATCAATCTCTGTCGGGTGCTCACCTTCCCATATCGTATAATCCCCACAAGCACACATAAGCCACCACAATCACTACGACAACCAGGGAATTCCCTTTCATGCTTGACTGCTAGTGACTGATTTCTACTTTGACTTCTATATTCAAAACTCAACTCAAAGGAGGGCATCTTTAAAGATCATTTCCCACAAGGAGAATAGGTAGTGTTAACTACCTAGTACCTAAGTCTCTGGAGTTGAAGATGAAGCAGTTGCTGTAAAGATGTCCATACTCTCAATCTGGTAAACCCACCCTTCGGACTACCCTAAAAGTATAGTTGAATAGAAGCACTAGAGTCTATGGCATTGGAATGGTGTGGTGACTGGGTAAAGGAATGAAATTCCGAGATGGGGGGGTGGTGTCCGAGGTTGGGCCCCGCCCCCGCCTGTCATTCTGGCCCCGCCCCCTGACGCAAACGACCCCCGCCTTCCCCGCGTGCTTTGTTTAAATACGCTCAGACTAGCTTTGCGCAGGCGCGGTACTGCTTGAACCTTAGCAGCGCGGGTGCGGTTTGCGGTTTCCGTTGAGAGAGACAAAACCCTGCCGGTGTGGGAGCTGAGCCTCTGACCCACGGCCCAGGCCTTGCGTGTGAGTCGGGGCCAGGGTGGGGGAGGAGTGGGGGAAGCCGCTCACCCGCTGACTGGGAGGTCTGGGGTCCCCGAGCCTCCGCTGAGGGGACTCTCAGTTCTAGTGTTGAAGGAGGGCTCAGACAGAGACTGAGAGGGCACCAAAGCTTTCAGGAAGCAAGCTGGCAGCGACTCAGCGGACTCGAGTTCAAAGGTTGATCCCCAAGAACAAAGGGGGCCTTTCTTACATACCATTTAGAGCAGGTTACAGAAATGGGGGGGGTGTACAGCTTGTCCCATACATAATCACATGTTATTTCATTGGCCGCTCTGACCTCTGGGGCGAGGTGACGCTTCTCTGGTCTCCAGATAACATTCCCCAACTCCGATTTTTCTTTGTTTCACCGTAACACTCATTATCTCCCTTCCCCCTCCCTGCCTTGCTGCCACATCCCCCATCCCCCCCGCCCTTTGATGCTCAGACCCGCTTCTGGGTCAAAGAGCATCACACTGATATAGGGATTTTTACTTCCATAGCTCCATTACATGAACAGCTGCTGGGAAGGATTGTGTAAGCTCGTTTCCCACAGATCCAACACAGCCCCTTAGGCGCCGACAAATCTATGCCCATTATTAACCTGATTATTCCAGGTTGTTGTAAATTTAGGGAGGTTAGCCAGCAAGTGAGGCTGGGGCTCCGTGTAATTGGGAGCCACACACCACCACCACCACTGAGTCTCCTGAGTAGCGTTAATGTAAAACTTTTGTCCCAAGAAGATTAAGTTCCCTACTGGGGTGGAGAATTGGCCTTTTGGATAGGAGATACAATAATTCTCAATAATAGAGGTTTTTAGGAGCCAAACGCTCTCCCAGAAGCCAGAGAGAGTGGTTTCATTAAAGGGCTTTTGTGGGTTTAGCTCTTTTGCCTCTCATGGCCAATGGTCTCTTATGTTTGTTCTCCCACAAACATAACAGGAAGTTACATTTAGAGTTTGTGCTATGGACTCAGCTAGTGAGAGGAATAGGTTTTTGGTTTTAACTGATATGGGATACTCACTTTGTAACTCATCGTAAAAGGAGTGAAAGACCTGGTATGATGAGTTCCGGGGTCTGCTCTCTTTTTATAGATTAAAATGTTAAACTTTTAAAAAACTTTCTGGCCTGTTTCATTGAGGTTGAAAATTTCACATGAGGTATGGCCCTCCCCTTTAGCCAAGTTGCCCACCTTTTACAACCCCAATAAGGGCAGGCAGTAGAGTTGTTTATAGAATGCACAACCAGATGTCCCACTGTCATCTTTTGGGCATATATACTTGTCATTTAGCCCATAGGTCCTTTCCCAGGTTAGCCCCCCACAGTTGCCCTAAGGTCCAGTGTTTTTGTTGGGGTCATTAACCCGGGTGTGGTTAATGAGCTTCCCCGTGCTAATGAAGCTTTGGACCTCTAGCCATTGCTCCTGAGGGTGACAGATGGGGTTAAAACAGATATACTGACCATCATGAAAGCACACTGAGTAGGTGGTATGGTTGTGGGTGCATGACCCAGGAATGGTGCCTGCACAGGAATTATAAGTATGGAAAACCAGAGTTTTGGTAACAGCACTCCCTGCTTGGGTAGTGCGCATACATGCGTCACAGTCCAAAGCCTGGGGGTCCCCAGGTAGAGAGCTGACCAAGATAAGCAAGAATATGGACTCATCCTTAAAGGTGAGATGGGTGACTTCTCAAGCTTCTGCCATGCGTAGACTATTCAGTTTCCAGAGTGACTAGAGCAGGACTAGGTATTGTCTGTGGTCTCCTGTTGTCTCCTGGGAAGTGGGGTCCTGTTGGGCTGGGTCAGGGATGCGCTCCCATTCGACGGAAACTGGCTTCACTCTGCTGTGGTGGATCCAGGGAACGATCTCTGCTACCTTAACTGTAGTGGGGGTGGACAAAACAACAACAAAAGGGCCCCTCCACTGGGCCTTTAGTGGTTGAACATTTCATTCCTTTGCCCAAACAGCATCCCCTGGTTTATAAGGGTGAGTGGGAGTTGTCAGGTGAATGGAGAGTCTCTCTTTTACCCAGTCATTGATTTTCGAGAGAGTCAACCCAAGGGCTTGTGTCTGCTGTCTCAGGGTGAGGTCACCTATTTTCTTAAGGTCCCCTCTCAGGCCCTTGACTAAAGGGAGTGGATGCCCAAAAAGAATTTTAAAAGGGGAGAGACCCATCCATTTGGTGGGGCTAGACCTAACCCTGTGCAAGGCTATGGGCAGTAATTGATCCCATTGTAGGTGGGTCACTTGACATAGTTTTTCCAATTTTAATTTTAGAGTCCTGTTTATATGTTCTACTTTCCCTGAACTCTAGGGGTGGTAGGCTGTATGTAGCTTTTAAGTTATTTCTTGAGCCATCAATTGTCCCACCTCAGCCACAAAGGCCAGTCCATTGTCTGACCCAATAGACACAGGTATTCCAAATTGAGGGATGATTTTCTTTAACAGGCACCTGGCCATTTCTTGGGCTTTCCCAGTCAAGTGGGGGAGGCTTCTATCTATCCTGAGAAGATGCAGACAAACACCCGCATATTATTTACATCTTGGCCCTTGTTGGGGATTGTTTCTGGCACACAGACTGCACCTTTCACATACTGTCTTACTTATGTTGGAGAGCTTGGGGGACATTAAAAATTCTGGTCTTGAGAGCTGTCTGCTCTGAGTGAGTTTCTTCATGGAACTGTTTGACAAATGTGGGAGCCAGTGACTCAAATAATGGCAATGTGACCATCAGTAAACTTCCACCATCTGTCTGGTAGAAAATTTCCTACTGCAGTCTCAAACCAAGCTTGTTCTTGTGAAGTATACTATGGGTCCCAGGCATGGGAACAAGGCAGCTGCCAGTGAGGGTGAAGTTTGTCTTCCTGTGAGGGCTGCTCGCTTGGCTTTCCTATTAGCCTTTCGGTTAACAGTTATCTCCGCTTTCTGGTGCCCTCCGCAGTGTATGCCTGCTACTCGCTTAGAGGCCCATACAGCTTTTAGTAATTTTAGAGGTTTTGTCCATATTTTACACTTTTTTTTCCTGAATTAGAGGTCTCGATTGGCAGTGGTTTTGTTTCAGTGACAGCATCCAGGGTCACTACTGTGTATCCAGCAAAACGTGTGTCTTTTTGGACAAAGCTGCTGCCATCTGTGAAATACCTAACGTCCAGATGACTAATGGGCTGGTTGGTCAAGTCTGGCCAGCTGGAAAACACCTCTCCATAATCTCTAAACAGTCATGCTCCAGTGGGCCTGAATAATAGGGTGGCTGGTTTTTTTTTTAACAACCTTTCTAGGTGGAGATACGAGTTTTCACATAACATACTTTGATATTTGACCATTCAGGAGTTTGTTAACCAATAATTTTCTGTATATTCCATGAGAATCAAAACAGAGTGGGGAACTTGGACTGTGAGTTCTTGTCCCAAAGTAAGTTTGTCTGCTTCAGCCACCAAGACTAGTGGCCGCCAGGGCACACAGAAAGGGTGGCCAGCCTCAGGAAACTGTATCAAGTTGCTTTGATAAATACGCCACTGGGCAGTGTCAGGAACCTAGCATCTGGGTCAAGACTCCTACTGCTGTCTCCAGTCTTCCATGTACATATAGGAAAAAAGGGCTTTATCACATCTGGCAAGCCCAGAGCAGGGGCATTTGTGAGTACCCTCTTAATTTCTTTAAAGGCCTTTTCTTCCTCCTCTTCCCATGCCATGGGTTCCCATTCTCCCCTCTTTGTGGCTTCATAAAGGTGTTTTGCCGAGAGAGTAATTGGGGATCCAGATCCAGCAGAAACCTGCAGCTCTTAGAAATGCTCTAATCTGTACAGTGGCACATAAGGGGGTGGGGACTCCTTGGGGTTCCCCACTAGTATGGATTTCTCTGGCTTTTTACATTGTATCCTGTACTTGGGAGCTGCTGCCACCCTGGCTACCATGACACTATGTGCTTTCTCTAGGTGGGGCTTTAGCCATGTGGGCCAACTGAGGACTGCATCCTGCCAGCAGTCAACAAAAGGAACCATCTGGGTATTTTAGGCTCCCCTACAGCCACTTCAAAAATTCTATTAACTGTGACCTTATCTAATGATCCCTCCGAAGGCCATCCTATACCAAAAGTAGCCAGTCTATTTCACAGAAGGTCCTAAGCTTGCCAGGAGTCAGCTTGACTCTGTAATCTCCATTAAATCCTCTCTTAAAGTTCTTAAGCATGCATTCTAGGAGAGTGTTCTTACTCTGACTTCCTCCCATTCATCCTGTTTGCCAGATGTCTAAACAGAGACAAAGATGGAAGGGATGAGGACTGTGGAGAGGAGGTAAGGGATCCTCCTCTCTAGCACACAGGGGAAAACAAATAATACTCATTTTGTCTGTCTCCAGCCACTCTCCTCATGGGGATTTAGGCGTCTCTTGGCCCCAGACAAGAGGCCCTGTTAGGGCTCACCCTCTCTCGCTTTCTCTCCTTTTTATAAATATAGAAAAGAAAATAATCTTTTAAAACAAAATCAAGGAAAGGCCTAGACACCTTGAGAGACACTTCCTTCTCCCCCACCACCATGAAAGAAAATGGTTGCCAGCAAGAACTTTGGCAAGGTTATCTATGGTGATAACTTACTATAATCCCTGGGGACTCAGAGACCCTCTGAAACTTCCTGGTTGTCCAGAAAAGCTCCACTGTTGCTCATGGTGCAGACTAGACTCCCTTGTAGCACTGGACCCTTAAAAATCAGCCATCATTTCTTTCCTGACAGGAAGCTTTAGTTGGGGAATGGAAATCATCAGTCCTCTATTAGATGCCAAGAAATATGCTTGCTTCTGGAATGAGAAAAGAATAAGCTATGAGTCCCTCACATACTTTAGGAGGTTATGAATTAGTAGAGAAAGAAGTGATGTGTTAATGTTACTAAGAGTTAACACTTTGAGAAATGTGCATTCTCAAAGAAGCTTATTAGTGCAGATGAGCCTCTGTTTTAGTTGTTGTAAAATTCATAGAGACATGTGAGTTCCTTCATCTAACAGGGATTAGTAGCTTGGAGATGGAGGGAGTGGCAGGTACATCTGCTCTTTGAGTCAGATTCTCAAGCAGGAACTAGTGGATGGGAAGACAGAAACAATTCTTTGCTCACTCACAGCCCTATACTTTTGCTGCAGGGCTCCTTAGTTATTTTCATCATTGTTACTCACCACCAGAGGTTATAAAAGCCTTCCAAATAATCAGCGACCCAAAAATTATGCAGGAAAGTACTATGACGTAGGAACAATAAATAACATTTATTTAGGGCTTACTATGAATACAGTATTAAAATGATCCTTCCTATCCATGTAATCATCACAACCTCTCTATGAAATGAGTATTGATAAATATCAAGTGTATCCAAAATAAAGTCTCTGGCAGGTTGTGGTTTTTGTGGCTGTATCTCTCGTGACTTTAGGTTCATCTTGGTATCAGACATAAGGCTGTTCAACATCAGGCCCTGGCCCTTACACAGCTCATGATGCCAAGAACTGGAAAATTACTACTTTGGTTTCAATGGATGGTAAAAGGATTGTTAAGGTAAACATTGTAGAATTAATTTGACTAACCACACTCTCCTTTCAACATTATAATCCTGGACTTTAGACAGGATTGAACTAGGTTGTTGAGGGTGAGTGGATATATCTGAATTGGCACACCACCTAGAATTAATAATAATCATTTCAATCACTTGGATGGTGGAGCCCATAATCTTCTCCAGCATTTGTGAGGTGTGTGGAAAAAAAAAACAACAAAACAGTTAGGCATACTTAGATATTCATTTGCAAATCTTACTTGATATTGAAACTATAGGACACCTCAACCATTTGTTGGGATTTCTGGAGTTTAATTTTTATTTCTCTACATTAAAATTCTAAGGGGTCCAGGGATGTGGCTCAGAGGCAGTGTGCTGGCCTACATGTGTGAGGCACTGGGTTCAATCCCCAGCACCACAAAACAAACCAGAACAAATTCCTGGGAAGGATCTTTACCTTTTTTTTTTTGTTTGTTTGCTTGACTTAAAGAATTGAAAAGAAAACCTATCCAGCCTTTTGAAGTAAAAATTTATATCAGAAGTGAATTTATGCCAGGCAGTGATACGTGCCTGTAGTCAGTTAATGAGAGGCTGATGTAGAGGATTGCTTGAGCCCAGGAGTTCAAGGCCAGCCTGGGCTATATAGCAAGGCCCTATAACAAAGGACAGAGAAAGGGAGGAAGGGGAGGGAGGGAAAGAGAGAATAAGTTTATTTATCTCATTGATATGTAAATAGAATGTTATTTATTTATGCCACAAACACTTGTTAAATACCTAGGAAATGTCAGGCTTTATGCTAGGCACAGAGATGATAATAACAATAAAGTATGGTCCCTGCCTTAACCTGCTGATAGTTTGTGAGACTGACAGGTAGGCTTTGATGTGACTGAAGAATACAAGTGAGAGTGTGGGATGGGAGCATGGCTTTAACCAGTTCAAATCAAGGAATTGGTCCTATTTCTTCCTTAACTGAGTGAATTAGATCGTGAATTGTTTTACATTCTAAACTGAAACATGAGCAACCTTGTGAATTATGGAGGACGCTAAATATAGTGTTTCCTATAGGCAGGGCTCCCTGTCAGTGTGGTCACTTCGAGAGTTTTTGACCTGAAAGTTCTTTGGCATATTTTTTTTTCCCTATTTTTTCCCCTCTTTCTTTTCTCCACTTTATTTTTTGGAGACCTGGGTAGTCCCAAAGAAAGATGTTTATGGATTCTAAAAGTGATTTGTAGGTAAAGACAGAAAATGATTTTTAACCCATAATTTTCATATAAAAATGAAAGGAACCCTTTCCTGTAGTCTCATACATATTGAAAATGACCATTTTAGTTCCATTGCATTTTTCAGAATTTCTCAGTCGTAATCCTCTGACAACCATTGAAGATTCTCATCTTTTTAAATTGCCAGCATTAAAATACCTGTAAGTATTGCAGTAATTTTTATGAGTCATGAGATGATTTCTGTTCTTGTTTACTTTCTTCAAAGGTTAAGTCATCATTTTAGTTTTAACTAGGTAATTGAAAAAATGTTATTGGCAAGGGAAAGGATTAAAATGAACAAGACAGCCAGTCAGGGAAGAAGACATAGAGATATGGAACATGTAAACACAGGTAAAAATATCATTTATTCCAGAAAGCAAAGAGTATAGGGTAGGAGTGAAAGCAACATGAAAATGAGAAGGAAAAGAATAGTTAGAAAAAAGACTTAGGCTCTATTCAATGCCAAAGTCATTAATTTGATGATTCAAACAGTAAACTTAAATTTCTTCAGTAAGAGTAATTAACTTCTTTGACAAACTTGTGAGATGGCTTGTTTTATAGGAAAGTCAAAATCTAACTAATAATTTCCTTGAGATGTCTTTTTAAGTACACACTGTCTGTGTTGGGGTTCATCATGAATGTGGGCTTTCTCCCTCAGGGACCTAGGAAAAACACAAGTGCGACTTGGGACTCTTGAAAACATCCTCCTGATGACTCTTAAGTTGAAAAGCTGTAAGTTAAAGTTTTTCTTAGATTTATGAATCACTTAGGTTTGCTTAATTAATTTCTTAAGTCAGGTTTATTGAGATTTCATTTCCATGTAATAAAATCCACACTTTTTTTTTTTTTTTTTGAGGGACTGAGGTTTGAACTCAGGGCTTTGCATTTGCTAGGCAGGTACTCTACCACTTGAGTCAAACCTCTAAAATTCACACTCTTTAAGTCTTCAATTTGATGGGTTTGCATGGCTATGCAACCACAACCCCATTCCTGATATTAAAAGATCCTGTCATCCCCAAATGCCCCTCATATTCTTTTGGAGTCAGTCCACTCCTCCCACTGCTAGCCCCTTGCAACCATCAAACATTTACTTATTTATTTTTTTTGGTGGTACTGAGGTTTGAACTCAGGGTCTTGTGCTTGCTAGTAAGCACGTGAGCCACTCTGCCAGTCCTTTTTTGAGTAGTTAGGGTTACAGGCATGAATCCTAGGCTACCTAGGTGCCTGGCTTTTTGAAGATTTTATAAATGAAATCATACACTATGTAGCCTTTGTGTTTGGCTTCTTTTACCTACCATATCCCACTGGCAGTGTATGAGAGTTATAGTTGCTCCACATTTTCACCTGATCCTTGTATTTCAATTTCTTTTTTAAATTTTAGCCTTTTTTACTAGTAGGTATGCAGAGGTGTCTCATTGCTGTCTTCATTTCCACTTCTTTAATAGCTGATGACGTTGAGTGCATTTATGTGCAAATGTCTTCTTTACTGAAGTGTCTGCTCAAGTCTGTTCTCATGTTTTAGTTGGATATTTATCTCCTTTCTAAACTTTAAGAGTGCTTTACATACTCTGGATCCAATTCCTTTTTCTCACATATGTGCTTAGTAATTATCTTCTCTCTGGTTGTGGCTTGTGTCTTTTCACTCCACTAAGTGTCTTCTGAAGAGCACAAGTTTTAAATATTTCAATTTTGATGAACTCTAATGTAGGAAGTTTTTCTTGTATGGTTCGTGTTTATGTGTGTATGTGTGTCTTACCTAAGAAATCTTTGTCTAAGAACCTGTTGCCACTGGTCAAGATGGCTTACGCCTGTAATCTGATGTACTTGGGAGGCTGAGAACAGGAGGATGAAAGTCTGTGCAAAAATTTAGTGATAACCGATTCTAATCAGTAAACCAGGTATAGTGATACGTATCTGTAATCCCAGGTACAGCAGAGGCTGTATGTAGAAGGATCAAGTTCTCAAGCTGGCTCCAGGCAAAAACATAAGACTCTATCTGAAAAATGACTACAACAAGGCCAGGTGTGGTGGCTCATACCTATAATATTAGTTACTTGATGTTAGAAATATCTTTAAGATATTGGGGCGTCACAAGGGAGACACAATACAACTCAGAAGTCAACAGGTCAGGCAACATTTACTTCTGCAGAAGGATGTGGCACAAAAAGCAAGCACATTCAGCATGTGGGGTTTTATCTCTAATGCAATGCTGCCCCTTCCCTGAATTGGGCAGGTTTGGGGTTCACAGTCTATGTGGTTGGCTCATTGGAAAGAGGACATTGTGGGGGGGCTTTGAAGATAAAGAGGTTTAAAAGCTCAGGGAAGCAATAAGCAATAACTGTTTTAGGTTATCACCTCCAGAACCAGGGCATGTAATGGAATTTTGTTTGACTGAGGATAACAACCCTTTGTTCAGAGTCCATGAAGCGAGCGTATGGGAAGCAAGTTAGTGAGACTAACATTTGTAACAGTGGTGGCTACTGATTAAATCCTTTGACAGAAAAGACCCAACCTAAGCTGATTCTCTCATAGTTCCCCGCTTTTCTTTTATTTACAGTTCTTTTCTTCAAACTTAGTATTAATTGACTTTTGGTCAAGCTTGACCATTAGTTGCCCCCCTTCCTTATCGGAGTGAACATTTTAAGAGGGCCTCTTTAGTTCATCCTGTTGTTGAAACTTGTTACCTACATTTTATGGCTACCATTCATTATTTTGGTAAGACCCCTTTTTTTGTTTATATTGGGAAGTTTGTTTTGTTACTCTCCTTTAGGGTCTATATTTTTATCCCTTTAGACGTCTGTCTTTAGGAATGTTTTATTACCTTGTTTTTATTATCTAGGAAGAAAAACTGTTGTCTCCGAATCTGTGCAAAGCTGGTTGTTTTAAGAGTCCTAAATGTTTTGTTTTTAAATGTTTTTTTATTTCCTTTATCTAAAATAATCTTTGCCATCCGTCCCTTTACATCCCCAGGGTTGTTGTTCCTAGGGACATTTCTGTCCTCACACTTGTCCCCTTACATTCTCCCCTCCCCTCTCCAGAGACAGCCCTGACTTCTTTCAGGAAAAGGGGCGTTGACTCTATCTGATTATTCAGGCTGAGAGGGGATGTTGTGAGATCCCCTGGATAGTCAGTCAGGGTCTCCTAGGTGCTGGTAGGGTAGGTCTGTCAAGGGGTCCTTGGTACCAGGAGAGGATCTTTGGTGTGTGCAGCTCTTTTTCCATCACCACCTGGAGTTTGACAAACTTGAAGAAACAAACTTGACAAGCAGGTTGAGAATGCATGGACCAAACATTAGTAGGATAATTAATGCAATTTGGGAGCTGAATAGAGGAAGGAATCAGGTTAGGATTTAATTTCCCGCCATACTTGCCCAACAACTTGTGAATTTATTGATTTCCTTAACCATTTAGCTTTATTGAGAACTGTTTCTGTATGAGTGTCCACTTGTTCATTGGCATTAATGCACATGCAGCAGGAAGTGTTAGCTATAGTACAATTTTTAAATGTCTAAACCTGCAACAATACATTATCAGTAGACAACGAACTTGTCTCATGATGGTCTAAATGAAGGATCTATATTTATGTCCAAGAAAAATCCATCGCTTAAATCCAAAATTAAAAACACCATCTTTAAGTATCATAGGACATGTCTGGAGCCTGCAGAAATTGTCAGTTTGTTTCTATTTGAGTAGAAGGCCCTGGCCAAAAATATGAGTTTGTCTTTTGTCAGAGATGCCTGAAAGAGTTTAATGTCAGATAGCCACACATGCTTAAGAACCACTTCTTTAACCCTCTTGGCTTTGGAGAGGTTTGGCACAAATGACTTGTTTGAACTTTGATGGCATTCCCCCCCTTGTCTCCAAACTGTTTGTCTTTGAGCAGTCTTCTCTGAAATTTTTTTTTTTTTTGATTGGTCATTCTTATCCCTTGTTGTATTTGCTTTCTCCTGGGTGTCCCATGTTGGGGAGGAAGTAACAAGCAGGTCAGGTGGGAGCCAGGGCCAACTAGACCCTTTTGGCCAAATTTAAGGAACAAAGAGTCTTAGAAGGAGTTGCTCTGAGGCTGTGGTTTCTAGACAAGGACAATACAAAACAAAATCCAACAAAAGTAGATATTTAAAAAGCTAACTTGGTTGACAGATGAGTCTTTTTTTTTTTTTTTAATGGACTTGATTGTAAATGCTCCAGAAGGATCAGAACTATACTGCTAAAAACTTAAAATAGCCATAGTTAAAATTCTGAGGGACAATTTAGCAACTAACAGAATAGTCTAGGTATTTCCATTTTTTACAGAATAATTATGATTGGCAGGCAGCATTATATCAGCACCATTACTTTTTTTCTTGTAACAGTTAGGAACACATGTATAAAAATCTGTAAAGGCTAGAATAAAGTTATAATTTGAAGAGCATCAGCTTGGTAGTTCAGTCTTTAAATTTCGTATTTTAGAAGGCTTGATATACTTGGAAAACACAAATATATTTAATATACAGGAGCCAGCAACAGCATCATAGCTCTAAGGAGGTTATACATACATACTAATTTAATTGTTACCCTTGGAGTAAAACCTTAGATTTTCCATCAGTTGAGGGAGCTGTGTCATTGACCCCAAATAGCCTACTGATTGACACATATAGGGTACTAATTGCATTAGAATCACCCAAGACAATAGTTGTTTAACCACAATTATGAGGCCATCTAGAAGACTTGACATAAACCAACTCTTAAACTTTTATTTAGTTGTGACTCAGTTACCTGAGTAGTCAAAACACTGAAAAAATTCAGCAGAGAACACAGGTAAATATTCATGAGAACTAAGTGTGAAGGTAGGAAACCTGATGGCTGACATAAACAGATGGCTCATGACATACAGCAGGATTTTGCCGAACTGTATTGATGGAGACCCCCAAAACTAACAGGCCTAATCTGACCAACCCAGGCTAAGAATTCTCTCCACCTGACATATGGAAGGAGTTGATGATGCATAACTCAGTGTTTGAGAGTTAATGACACATAACCTAGTTTGTTTTAAATTATTTACTATGTTGACTCTAGTAAAATCTTGAGGTTTCAAGACCTCCAGTGCAGTGTTCCTTTTTGAGTATTTTTTAAGTCTTGTCTGGAGGATGTACTTTTGTTTTGCTTTGATTTTTTTTTTTTACATAAATTTATTTCATCCTCATATCAGTGCAGCAGCATTTCCTGTGCTTAGCTGCCTATTGTCTTTTGTGTCTTAATACACTTTTGTTCTCCTACTTGGAGATTTACTTGGTAAATTCTAGGATCAGACTGTAGCACCAACACTCCCTGATTGTTATCTTGATAAAACAAAAACCTTTCCTTTAAGACAGTTTTTTTGGTAAATGTTATCCATAACAGAACAATATTTTTAAGACAGCCTTATTGTTATGAGCTTAGAGAATTAAGTTTTAGTTTAACATCAGTACATTAAATTTTGACCTTACAAAACCTTTAATGTAACTCTTAAATTTTAGTTAACTTAATCACCTATATAAGCATTTATAAGCTCCATCTTTTTATGACATTCTACTCTGTACTTTCATGACAATTTACTCTGTACCCTCTGGGGGAGCTTGTCCTATCCTTTCTTTTTCTATTTTGAGACAATTCCTGAGGACAAACCTTTTTTTAGCCAGGCACAGGTGGCTCATGCCTATAATGCTAGCTACTCAGGAGGCAGAGATCAGGAGGATCATGGTTTGAGGCCAGTCT